GCCAAATAACACGTGTTCAAACGTGTACAAAGTTTACGGGTTTGTGTTATTTTTGTGTTCTTAGCGTGTAAAACTATGATGAAATGTGTTTTGTGTGTGTTCGGAAAAGTGTTATTTGGCCCTTTTTTTCCTAGTGGATATGTTTATTTGATGAACATTGCTTAAATGCTTTGATGAATCGCACAATTGTTCAACAAGTAGGGGGCAAAACGTCACTTGTACTCGCAGTGCAGCTCCTTTACTTGCCTTGGCCTTCAGAACCGTTGCCAGTATGTATTCCGGAAGGGTTGTGCGGGCGCCGCGTGCCATCTGCACCGAAACAACAAAATTTGAATTTATAAAAGAATCTATTTATAAATAAATCAAAATAAAAATAACGAACATGTCGTCGAGCAATTTCGCCGGGCAGGCAGCATTTAGCTTGACGCAGGAACGTACATAGCGCATCTGTATCGTTAGCAAGGTGCCGCTGGCGCATCGCACACTTAGAAGGGGCCAATCCGCATAATCACAAATCCGGTGCTTGATTCATTTTCGCCGTGTCGAATTGCTCAGAAAGGCATCTGTCACGGCATGTGTTCCAAATCAATACTTATCGGTTCTACTACCCACGTGTTGGTCAGAAGGTACAACAATATTTAGAGTTTTTTTTTGTTGAATTCGACAATAACTCAAAGCACTTATTAGAATATCAATGGGGGAAGAGTCACCCATCTACATCATGGTATTGAGGACTCGTAACAAAACCAACGTGTGCTGGCGGGGGTACATCGTACATAGCGCGAGATACACTCATGTAATTACCTAATCTGGTTTCGTTTTCACATATGTCATACTCAGTATCATTTACGATAAAACTTACAATTATCGCCACAATGGATATATTGCATCCGACGATAACCGCTATCGTCGTGTGCAATCTATCCATTATAGATGTATCGTTGCGGTCACTATTATTACGATACATCGATACAGTATCAAAGTACTGTAAAATATTAAACCCTTCCGCACAGTAACGTAACCCTGGTCTTATTTGTGGAGAAAATAATATAAATAGTAACGCAAATTTCGGCCTTTCTGTGCGGAGCAACGTAGAGAAAAAGAAATAACGCTGTGAAATGCAAAATGCGGGGCAAAAAGCGTAACGGTGAAATTTCTGACGCGGAAGGGTTTAATATTTCAAGGTACCATTGCGATCCTTGTGACGGATGCATCCACAACGATCGTGCACAACGTTTTGGGGCGCCGTACCAGGAAAAACATCAGCGCCGGTAGAACTGCTTCCAGGTAAAACAGTATCGACGGTCCTCTCGATGCAGCTTTCGCCTCCTAATCATACGGAATTACGCACAAAATAAATTCAGACGCATGACACAGGAAATCCAACATCACCAATGCTGTTCACATCTTTCGGCATCACATCAACATTCAACATGCTCACAATGACTGCCACGAAGCATCCCGGGCGTCATGCCTGCGAGAATTGCATTACGTCAAAGCAAAGCCAGAACATTTTTAATCCCGCACTGGCGTGCAACCGCACCAAAAAGGCGTAACATCAACATGGATGTCACGTTAGCGCTACACGATTTAGACTGCTGAAACTCGGTTAAGGCCATCAGTACATTATTTACTCCCTTCGAACACATTTAATGCACTGTGCCTGAATCACATGAAAGAAATGCATTTCTTTTTGTTTAGTGTCGTTGTCGTGATCTGCACACGTTTTGACTTACGCACGGACAGCGACTGCGCAAAATGAGGAATTTCGGGCCAACGATGATTCTGCCACAAAAATGATAGGGTCTTTGGTGCCACAGTAAGAAGTGGTCATCAAATGTACTACTGTTGCTTAAGGGTGTCCGCCACTGTGCTCCATGTAATTCTCGATCTTCTCACTCACTTCTGTTGTCGGATATGAAGATTTTATCAAGTGGCAAAATGATGGTGGATGTGAATACGAGCGAAATTAGCTGCTATCAAGCAATCAAAGAGCTCCAAATACCTAGCCTTCCATTTGAATTTTCGTTTGATTCAGCCACCCTTTCATTGACCCGTGATCACTAGTTTGACAAAGTTTCACTGAAAAATGACGTTTAATTATGAGCAAGTGAGGCAAAAATTTCATAGAAAGCAGCCAAAATGACATGGATGAAATAATAATCTGTCAAATTTTGCGTTGGAATTCCACTTACAGAACATTATCTTTGTTAGGGAAGCGATAATGCCTCTTCTTAGAAGCCTTTCTTTCCTTGGGACCACAGGATTTATGTAGACCCAATGGGATCCACACAACACATCTGCGCAAAGCATGTAGACAGCGCAAGCTGCCAGAATTGTCAGATCCCACACTTTTTGTGCATAGCAGTGACCACCAATGGCCATCAGACAGACATTTGGGGGTCAACAGCACCTCATAGGCGACTCACCTCGAAGTATGTTTTCCCCTCTATGATGGCATCGATCCAATCGCGCATATCAGAGACCCGCGTGTAAGCGCCACCTCTCCCCCTGGCGCATGCGGCAGGGCCAAAAGATACGATTCCAAGGATGAGGTCAATGTGAGGGTTCCCCTTGGACAGGTTGCCGCTCAGCGGATTGTCTGCTATGAAGAGGGGGCCGCCGGAGTCACCTGCGCACATCATTGTTGCCGTTAGGGCCTATAGCTAGCGCAAACGTTGCCTGGGGTGCTGAAACCTTGCAATACCACTCAACCATGTGTCAATTGTGGACATTTCGTACATTTTTGATCGTTTTGTTTGTCCATTTTACCAATTCAGGCACAAGAAACGCAATGCGCATATCACCTGGACGTGACCGTTGAAGTCCTAAGGCATGGGTCATGTTCAGATCACAGTGTGTAGCTTCCAAACCAGTTTCCTTGGAACTTAAATTTGATAGTCCTCCAGAAAAGGAAGGGCTTTGAATGCCGAATTCAGCACTATCCATACTGACATGGCGGGAATGACAATGAATGAATGATAATACGATAAAAACAGAATGGATATTTTACGTAAAGAGCATGTATGAGCCTTCATAAAAATAATCCTAAGAACGCGTAATCATGTCGTGAACATATATGAAAGGAAATACAAGATAATGTACCGAATGAGAATGACGCACAAGACAAGCCACATGTATGTGATGCAGGAACACATTGTACACAACTCCTATTGGCTCTGGGGACTCGAAGGATTACCTTGGCAGGTGTCCTCATAGGTGGAATAGGCGCAGATCAGATGCGCTCCCAACGCCCAACGCTCCAAACCAGGGCAATAAGGATTCTCGACGATCTGCAGCGAACTGGCCATGCGCAGCGTATCGTAGACTTCACGGTATCCGCCGTGCCCGATGTCCCACCCCAGGGCGCCGACATATGTGCCTCCAGGGTGCTGGGTGCCTTTCTCGGAGAGGGTGGGCGTAGGAACGCCTTGGACGTCCCAAGGCAGCTTTAAGAGCGCACAGTCATATCCGCGCCTCACGTCCTTGCTCCATTTTGGGTGCACGAATGTGGCCAGCGCGCGCATGACCTGCGAGCAAGGCAAAATGTTTGCGATGGATCCATTCTGAACTCAGAGTCAACTCTCATTTCAGGAATGCAGTACGAGGCGCAGTATATTACATTACTTATTTGTACCGCATTTTGTTAAAGGACTTCATTGGCCTGTGTTGGCGTTGACAAAACGTCCTTCTTAAGAAGCCGAGATATATGCAGCATTGAAATGTTCGATCACACATCTTACACTTTTTGTACATTGTACAGCGTGCACATTCATTGTTGCGAACAATCTGCTCAGCAGTGTTGTCATATTGGGAACATCTGCTAAAGATTGCAACACATAATTCAAATAACCGTGTGCTGCAACGTCGACAACACAGCTCTGGCGGTGTCGGCAACCACAGCGGTTCAGAATTGCGCCAAGCACTGCCTTCGACATTGAAAACAGCAATGCCAAAGATGGGCATGGATTTTTGCAGATTGTACATTAATGTGCATGGCGCAGAGGCGTTGTCATGTTTGGCGCTGAATGTCCTATTGCTGTATGGCATGAACTCGTGACTTTATTCAACCTGACCACCAACAACAACACACGCACTCATACACACGCACTTGCGCACTTGTGGCGGCACAGAAATCTGCTCAAGAGGAGAAGTGCACAAAGAATAGGCGACCCGAAATTCACACAATGTATCAAATACACACCCGCAGCCTTGGCAGGGAACTCCACGCCTTTTTGCAAGCTTTTGATCGTACGTATTTTATGTTGTTATTATTACATTTTTTATAGTTTGTATTTTGCAAATATCTAATATTGAACCGCTTTTTTCTCGGCAAAGTCACCGCACCATTGCCCCGTCGCTGCCCAATTAATTTGCAACGCCATGTGTCCGCTGCGTCCATGTCAAAAGCAAGCTGCGGCCAGAACGTTTCTTAACAACGAATGCACTGGGCCATCTGGCATGTCCAGCGGGGACTCACCCTGGGGAACCCCAGCTCCTCCTCCGCATCATTCAACCTGTACGGGCCGATGTGGACAATGGCGTTCTTCCCGATGTCGTCGACGCAGTGGGCGGCCGTCAGCACAAACCGCCGGCTCACCAGTATCCCAACGCATCGGTGATGTCTGGCAACGTTCTTGATGGACACGATCCAAGGGAACCTCCCCTCCGGGGCCTCATCAACAGCCTGACAGAAAGGTTCCCAAGTAACCGTCGGAAAAAGTGCGGCAAATGTGTGGCACAAATATGGCCTGGCGCCCATATTTCGGCTGTCACAGTGGGCTATGTCCCAGCCTTGCATTGCACTTGGCTTCAAAGACAAAATTGGGACTTTGCACTCGGCGGGGATGCCACACATATGCAGCAAAGCATCTGAAATTGCCGTTGATTGATCTTTTCGTTCTCGTCACACGTCTGTTACACAGTACATGCACTGCCCCATTCCACGTTTCGCCTTTGAATGACATGGCGAGCATTTGGTATCATTGAACAGATCCATTTACTGTGTGTTGCTGTTGTTGCTAATTTCACCATTCTAGCTTTTGTGGCAACAAAATTACAGCAACTTCAGTGCGCCGCTAGGCGCTCACAGTCTAGTCGTCAACATGGTGGCAGCTATTCTGTTCTTAGTTTATTGCTGCTATTACTTTTATCACCGTTATTTTAACCTGGGGTGCACCCCCTTAGCTCACCGCAATTCTGCTGGTAACTTGTGAAGCATGACCCACATCTGCGGCACCCCACAAGAAGGTCAATTGCCATTGGCAGCAACGCAGGAACACAACAGAAACACTGCAGAAGAAGTCGCGCGGACATCGCATGTGGCCACCGCCAGAGGCCGCGCAGCATGTAAGTCCACTCCACATCGACGCTGCGGACTCCTTCGCCGAAACCTTAAAGCCCGTTGGGAGGTCGCACTCGAAGTGCAGGCCACGAATGTACACAAGGGCTCGCCACTTTCGGCAAAAAGCCACGACTTCCGCGATGCGCCATGTTACTAATTGGCCACCTCCGATCTACGTGCGCCGACGTGGGTACCACTTTCGGCTACGTGTGACATCGCCCGGCCCCGCCAGGGCGCCCAGCAAACAGGCACCCCGCCAGCAAAGGCTGCTGGGCGAGGTGACACTCTTTAGACCGCGCACCGGCGGTTCCCAGGGGTGGAAGGCTGCCGTGGGCCCTGCACGGCAAAGGGTCCACATCGCTTGAGGGAACGCGGATGACCCTCCAGCTCCATCCCACCCACCTGTGGCCGAGAACTTGAGCACGCCGGCAGCCGCAACGGCGATGGTGAGAGCGGCCAGCAGCCAGCGGCAAGTGGCGGGCATGCCTGCCGTCCCGTTGTGCTGTTGCACCACAGGACACAGCGTCAGCTCAAATCGTGCCTCCCCACGGGGCGAACGTGAGGCGAAGGGGCTAGCAGGGGGGGAGAGGAGAAGATGCGGGCCAAGGTGGGACGGCGCTCGCGCGGATTCTGCTTCCTGGATCATCGAAAGGAATAGAGACGGCCATGAAGCCCCCGAGCCGCACCGGCCATCGAAGGCGATCGAAGCGATCGATGCGCGGCTGAGGCCCCGCGACCCGGAAGGCCGCCCGGACGGTGCTGTCCGGTCGGTGCGGGAGGCGGCACGGGGATCGGCCAAGGACACGCCCCTGGGTCATCGCGTGGGGCCTCGGGGCTTGGGAATCGGGGTTTAGGGGACTAGGAGAGGGGACCAGGAGAGGTGAGCCGAGGGTGGAAAGGTAGGTTGGGGCGGAAGGCCGATGCCGTTGGGCGTGTCCCAGGCGGCGCTGACCTTGATTTCGGTCTGGGGTCCCCACGGCAGGGCCATCCGAGAGGTCACAATCCCCGGGCGGGGGGAGGTCATCCGAACGTCGCGTGCATCACACATGCGCTGGCTGATGGCATCGCGGCGCCCCTAGCCCGGTCGGCCGCAAGGACCTGATGGGCTATTTTGCGCCTCCGCGGAATGTACGTTCGCGGAGTCTGGGAGCACTGCTGGGGGATGCCTCGACAAAGTCGAGCGGGGTGGCAAGAACGCACCTCTCTGGTTGAGCGTGTGCTCAGAGGCGAAGGGGATTGTGGCGGTCGATCCCGGGAGGCTTGGAAAAGGGGAGGGGGACGGTGGGGGGCCGTCCGCGTTGCTCGACCACGGGGCAAAAGGTTGCGGAAGCACCTTCCGAGCGGGAGTATGTGCAGCAAGCTCAGGCGTTGGAAAGGGGCCCAGGGTGAGCCCTCAAGGTCCATCAGAAGTGGGGACGACGTTTGAGTCAGCGCTGAGGGTGATGAGTCGTCGCTGAGAGTGCGCGTACATGCCGCGAATATACGACAGATGCCAGACCAACCCTGGGTCGGCGTCCGACCCCTTTCGGGGGTGATCGTGACAAGATATTTCGTGAACAAAACAGAATAGTGTGAAGGTGCCGTGGTTGCGTTGGTGCGCGAATGGATTGGGAACGCATGGCATGCCACGCTGTCTGGCAACGTTTGGAGCCCTTTGCACACATGCAAAATTTTGCATTTTACATTTTAGCTTTTAAAAGCTATTGGCTGCAAGACGTATGGCAAATGCAGCACAAAGAGGACGAGCATCGTGTTGTTGTACCTAAGTATGGTAGGACGCAAACATTCATTTGAAATTTAGAACTGCGCCCGCAGAATGCAATGCAAACGCGCCTTGGACGCTCAGTGTTTGGATGCATCAGGCCCCCGTTTCAGGCTGTGACAGGTCGGCGAAGTCGCTTCCACCGTGATGGGACATCCGCCAGGGGTGGGGGTGCAAGAACAAGTTGCAAAGTATTCTCGTGTTGTCACTGGCATTATCAGGGGATTCACTGGGATGGCATGGCAGGTCGGTGCTGTCTAGCAGCAGTTGAATGTACATGCAGGTCAGAAATGGGGGAATTCGATATGAAAAGGTAAAGGTGGATCCAACTGCAGTCAGCATACTCAGGCTTGGTTTTTACGCCGTAAAAACTGATCGTATTTACGTTTTTATGCGTAAAAACATTTTTTACGTTTTTACGCATAAAAATGCGTAAAAATACGTAAATACAACGTAAAAACTGCCTGGTGTACATAAGGACAGTACATATAGATTTACAGAGCCCGGAGAGTGGCAGCCAGACGCCTTGGAAGAGGCAGAAAACGAAATCTTGCTAAACGTCATTATCGCCCTTGCCACAGGCGAGGTGGACATTGTGCTCAGGTTAATGGAGATGGCAGAGGACTGATCATTGTATGCAACTTTCATCGTGTAAACTACGTGTGCCAGGGAGCCGTAAAAATGTAAAAATAGCCGCAAAAATAGGACTTTTTGCAAATTTACGTTTTTACGCCTAAAGACGTAAAAGTAAAAACGTAAACGTAAATGTAAAAACCAAGCCTGAGCATACTTGCGCAACTTGGGACACTCGCTATTCAACATAGCATATTGGAAATACGGTGCTGTGCTGTGACAGCAATAAGCAAAAGGCAAAGGGCCAGTGGATTCCTGCACGTGTCCGTCAGAAGGTGGCAAACATGATTACCAACCATTGCAAGCAGTTTCATGAAACGTCCCTTAGTACTGCTCAACTGAAGCGCATGAAAATATGCGATTTTTTGCTCGGCGACGTCGTTGCCCTTGCTGAGGGCGAGGTGTGCGCTGTGTTGCCGTTGCTGTAGAGAGTGAAGGATTGATCGTTTATTGGGACATTATTGTGTAATATGGGCGGGTCGATGAGCCGCAAATACGCGTTGATATGGCCACAAAATGGCAGATTCTCTATTTACGAGTTTATATGCGCCAGAAAGTGAATGTAAAAATGGAGCCCTGTACGTGAATAACAAGCCTGATGCTATTCAATGTCCTGATCGCCTGTTGCATGACTGCGATGTGAAAATTCCCACACGATATGCGCTCCTTGCCATGTTATCCTCAGCATATTGTATCGCCACGATCTTTCCACACAAAGGACGGAGGTTACCGGGGAGTCACAAACGAGTCTGACATTGGGGCAGGCTGCACACACAGCACTAAGGCAGGCAGTACGCCACACTTGGAGATGGGCACAACTGCTGCCAGGGAGTCGCAAACGAGTCCGACATACGTCCCAATACCCCAATGCATTGGGGCAGGCGGTACACAGAAATGAGGCGGGCAGTACGCCACACTTCTGAGGGAAGCTCGACTGCTGCCGGGGAGTCGCAAACCAGTCCAACATTGAGGCCAGCGGTGTGCACACGGAAATGAGGGGCTGTACGCCACATTTTTGAGGGCCACACAGCTACAGCGAAGCCAGTGGTCAGAGGAGCCTTGGCGAGCCGAGGGAAGCCCTCCCTCGGCTTGCCGTTTCCCGGGGAGGTTCCAAACTCCAACCGCTCCAAGGGGAGCGGTGATCCTGGCGGACCATCCCCTCGGGCGAGATGTGGCGACAGGTGGGGAATCCCGGCCACACACCAGACAGCAAGGATGCTGAGGAACAGCCAACACAACTGGCGCACATCCCATGAGCAGGCGAGGACGGGAGCAAGCCCGTCGTTGGGCGGCACCATGGGAGCCCTGTCGACGGTGTCTCGTTGGCGTTTGGAGAGGCCGGTGTGGCGTATCATGCGGCACGGCAAGTTGCAACACACACGTTACAGGCGGCGATCAAGCTGATCCATTTCCGGCAAGGCAACTTTCGGTTGCACAAGGGGTGGCGCTGCGCCACAGCGTCAAACGAGCGCAGAGGAGGACAGGAAGGGACAAGCCTGGTACCAGGCTACCGGTGGCGGAAGGGGACCACTCCGATCCAGACGACGGCTGCGTTGCTTTGGTGCTTGGCGTCGCGGCGCAGCATTTGGCACGGCAGGTTTGGATACACACGCATTTTCCGGGGCGCGAACCGCCGCCATCTGGACCATGCAAATGCCAGTGACGCAAGGGGCCGGTGCTCCGCTGCAGCGTCTGCAGAGCAGACCTGAGTACGGTCTTCAGGGCTTTGGTGTGCAGTCCACAGTCGGGCAGCAGTTCTCCAACTGGAGACGAAAGGACTTGCATGCGTCGCCGCCCCCTCGTCCTTTTCCTTCCAGGATGCTCAGAAGATGTCTTCCCGCGGTCAGTCTCTCCGAGCATTGGCGACCCACGACGCTGCAGATAAACAACTTGAAGGCAAGCTTGGCGAGGTGGCGAGAACTTGTGCCGTTGCAGCGTTGAGGATCGCAACTTCTGCCACTTTGTAAAGATGGTGCCTACTGCCGGTCGCAGCCACAGGCCTGTCGGCTTCACCAATTTCCGTGGCTCACTAGCAAGTGTTTCAATCGTTGACGTCAGCAAATTGTTGGACGCGTTGGACGAGTTAAACACACGTTGGATGCCATTACCACTCCTATGTTCAGAGGTGAGCTGTAGATACTTCCGGTATCGCTCAAAGTTGACTCTCTGGGGAGCCTGAAAGATCCCGAATATTACTGCCGTACTGTTGACTGACGAACTCTTGTCAATGAGTGCATCAACAACATCACGGTAGAAAAGGTTGAGGGAAAATGCCACCTGTTCCTTTGCATCCTCGCAATACAGTTTGTGTGCCTCAATTCCATAACCCAATGGATTGGCTCACAAATTTGGAAATCGCATCCGCTTGTGATTTTCCTCACGACCGGAACAAAGATGAGTTGATGCAGAGATGCATACACCATGATTAATGTGAATGAAAGTTGCCACCCATCCCCAGTACCATTCGCTGAACAATCCAGAAAAGCAACAAACGGATGGTGCCATGTATTTGTGCTTGAAGCACACCAGATTGGAGATATTTTTTTCGGGCGCAGTCCAACTCTTAAACACACCTCAGGGAGTTGCAAGTTGTGATTTCGAAAGTCTCGATTGCCGAATGATGTTGCAGAACCCATGCAACGAGCCCCTGCGTCTTTGCACAACGGCGTCCGGAGCACGCCCTCTTGAGCATAAAGATTCTTTCACGACACAATCCACAGATCGCTAAACACCCATGCCACTGTGAAGGGTCCGTTTTAAAGCCAACTGAATCAAATGCTGGAACGCCCACTGTCGGCTCACCAACCTTGCACGGCCATTGTAAGTGGTCACCACGCTTGGGCCTGTATTGGATTTCCCAGTACCTTGTTGTCATGTCAATGTTTGTTCATGTGGCGTTTCCAAATTATATTTAACTTTGACGAATTGCTCGGCGGAAGATCATCTCAACTATGTGCCGTAAGACTTGAGCCGCGCTTGTCGTCATGCCAGTTTTTGTTCATGTGACCATTCCAAATTGCAAATTTAACCATGACTAATTGCAAGGAATGTGCTCATCGCGGGTCCACGAGTCTGGTGGCTGCATGGAGGTCCACGGCACAACCTGAAAATTTCGATCGCTGACGGCGACTCACAATGGAACATCGCAGACAATTGTCACCCCAAGACCCACACAAATGGAGAAACTTCCAGAATCCCTCAAAGTAGAATCTGAGGAAACCAAAGTGGAAATTTAGGATCATTTATTGACGGGCGAAGGCTCTTCAGGTAGTAATGAAGGGCTTCACAGTAAAATGGCATGAAGTACAGAAATACAAAATATTCTGCAAGACCAAAACATCTTTGCATACAAGTACCAAGTATCTCCAATCTACTGTGCTAGGTTAAAGACTGCAGATATTTGATGAAGCCGCCGCTCAACATTCAACCACAACTCTGATTAACTGCAAGCAAACAGCGATTGACAACGTCCCAGTTGCCGAACAGTGTTAAATAACCCATCCAAGCCGCCCCTGCACCTTTGCACAGCAGCGCCAACAGAACATCCGCCTGAGCAAGAACTTTCTCCCATGACGGAGTCCATCACTAAACGCCCGCACACCGGTAAATGGTCCATTTGACCGCCGACGTCAGTCACACCCTTGACCGCCCATCGCCCCCTCTCCAGCCTTGCGCGGCTACTTACAAATGGTCACCAATCTTTGTCAAAACATTCCCACAGCCCTTTCCCATCCACGACTCCCAAGTCAACTAGGCTTTCGAAACATGGCAATCTGAAGGGTTCCATCTATAAATTTCGCCATCTACACCTGCATGCACTATGCTTCGACTTCTGCACCATCACACGTCAGCCATCAATGCAATGCCACCCTACACAATCTAAATTCCAGCCCTCTAGTACACGCCATTCTATTCAAGCAGACACAGCTGTGAAAAGTGAGAGAATCCTTTTACCAGGATGTTCTTGGGAACTGCAAAACCCCACCAGATTCCCACCAGGACGAGCGCACAAACCGTGTCCAGCAGCCTGACGCCAGCTCCGTGCAACAAAAGCACCATCCAACCCCCCTTGAACCAGACACTACTGGCAGCAGCAATGCACACTAGTGTGGAGCGAGGAGCAATACTGCTCCTCGCCTAGCACTGCCCACCCCCGCACGCACACCACAGTGCGGCGCTCCACATGAATTCGCCTTCGATGCGCATCGATTCACTTTCGATTAGAATAGGCTGACCAATCCCGCACCGGCTCCTTGCTGCTGGTGGCACCATGCTCTCGCCCATGTACCCCTGGCACAACGACTTTGCCCTGCTGCTTGCAGCAATCCAATCCCAAATTTTCACAGTTGCAGTGTGCATCGTTTGGTGACAGCAGCGGCAGCAGCTGCTGCAGCAGCAGCTGTAGCAGCAGCTGCAGCAGCAGCAGCAAAATACACGAAAGCCCCAACGCCGTCCACACCAGGCGCACCACCCACATCACTGTCTCCTCCAACAACATCGAGAATTTCAACACCACCACCACCACACCGACCACAGTCACCACCGGGGCCACAATCACCACCCGTTTGATCACCGCCACCACCGCCACCACCGTCACCATCCAAGACCTGACCGCTGGTGCCCGAACGCCCAACCGCCGCTGCCACCTCAGGAGCCTCAAGTGCACCTTGGAGTTCTTCGTGTCTTGGTGGTGCACCCCAAGGATGCGTCTCCTGGCGTCGTACACAGAGGCATGCATGCTCTCGCTCAGCCCCAGCGCCAGTGGGCTGTCCCTCATTTCCAACACCGATGCCAAACTGTACCTGTAAGAACGATTGTGCAATTATTGTGAATTTCATAGTCAGACGTTATTGTACGGTGTCTTTCTTGCATAACTACTTCTGTGTCTCGTTCCAACCCAGAGGAGGGGGGAGGCGGGGTACCTGGCACAATCGAATGGCTAATTTCCGGCGGCAATTGCAAATTGATGATCGCAATATGTGCTGCACATTGTCTAAGATCGATGTCACTGTATCATCGTACTACAAATCAGCTCATTGTCGGGTCCAAAATTGTCATTTTCGTACTATATTTTTATGTTGTTGAGGAGGCTGAAAATTCATTAGCATCTCACATCAGCAGATAATGCACATCTGAGTGCTCAACAGCCTGATTAAACAGTCCATATTTAATATCAAACGAACATTATAAAGCTTTAAGTTTGTCGCAATCATATTTCCAATGGCACAAATAACATTGAGTCCCTACTTGCACCTATGCCACACTTGAATTTGAAGTGCATTGATAAAGATACGTTGCAAAGAATGGTGTCATGATCATGTCATGGTGTTAGCATCATAATCGGAGTGGTGCCATTCGGACCTAGAGGCCAGCGTATCCGTATTCTCTGCACCAAGGGAAGACTCCCGGATGCAGAGCGCTTTGGCGTAGCACGTCACCGCCGCGCCCACGTTGCCCACTGTCTGGTGTATGTTTCCCATGCTGTTCCAGATCAGGGCCCATTGCAGGTTGTTCTCCCAAATATTCTTGAGGTCGTTGATGGCCGACGACAACAGACACTCTAGCTCCACCAGGTCGATCCTGACTGCCAGGAGCCCTTTGAGCAAGTTGGTTAGGGCAATGAGCATGGATGCGGCGTGGTGGTCTTGGCTGGCGGGGTTGCACTGGCTGCGCACCATTGGCATCCTTTATTTGACAGCATTTAGATGTAATTGATGGAATAAGATGTAATTCAAAGTAACCATGGCCAACAAAGAATTGGTTCTGAGTATGAATCCCACCAGAATGCTGACAATCCATCACTGACAATCCAGACAGCATTTCGAAAATGGAAGCAGTCTTTTCTGGTAAACGTGTTTCTGGAGCCTCTTTCACCAGTCGGACGGTGCATCTGCTCATCAGCTCACGTTCTTAATACCGTTGTTGTTTATTCAGCGCATTAATTCACTTCTGACCTCTGGCTTGCCCACAGGTCTCCAGCAAGGCAGTGTGACAGTTCTTGGCCGTCAGCAGGTATTTCAGTCTTATGAGGGCCGGTCCATGCTCTGCCAGGCTGCTGAGCGCATGACAATGCTCTTTGCCCCACAAATTGCATTGAGATGTAGCAGTATATCTATCTGGAAGCTTGGCCACTGTGGATGTGTTGCACATGCGCAGGATTTTGTTTACTCATGTGGGCATGAGAGTTACATGTGGTAACGCATGAAAACATTGTCACTGGGTGGAGGAACCCACCCCCACCCCACCCCCACCCCACCCTTCCCTCTTCCTCCCTTCCTCCTCCTTGGGCATGGGCGCCAGAGGGCGACCGTGTCATTGAGAAAGTGGAATATTGCCTACATTGTATACAAGTCATACCAACAGTGATTTTTTAATTCTATTATAATACACAAAACCAAACATATCTTACTACCTTTAATACCAAGTAATACATTATTACAGCTGTACTACATCCCATTTTCTATATCATGTGCATGGTGTTAAATGCAAGTCAATCTATGCCAGTATCGTGCTTTTGCACCCTCATCCAAAGACATCAAGTTGGCCTCATCAGAAATGCAACACAATTGTGGTACCATAGCAACCATCAACACAGCAGCATTGCAGTATACTGTGTTTACCATGGCAGTGTAATGATGCTTGCAAAACCGCAGAGAAGCCAAGAAAATGTGCAATCGTGAGTTGTTGCAGTGATGAGGTGGAATGGCAGTGTACATGGTCTTCGCACCTAATGCAGGAGAGGGTAGACAACAAGTCATCCACCATGCTGTAGAGGTGCTGGTCTCTGGCCAAGCAGTATCGCTGAAAATGCACAAAATGAGCAACACATTTATGTTCCGAAATTAACAATTTACTGCTCATGGCTTTTGTTTGATTGCTCATTACTGATGAGTTTTTGCAGACCAATCTGAGTGTCTTCATGTCCATTTGTTTGTTGCAGTTTCACATGCAATGCACACAGCATCTTTGCCCATTGGACAGCAGCTGAAAAGGAACAGTGCAGCTAACACTTTGAAGTTTCTTATGAAAGTGAAGATATCCGGGGAAGGGCAAGTCATGGCACCTGAGCACAAGCAATACACGATTTGATGCCGGCACCTTCATAACCATGGCCGTGTCTCATGTTGCATACCAATCACACACCATGCAGGCACATATAGAAGTAATATATATGTATAGCAATCTTGAGAGCGAATGTCCTGAAATGTGAGCATCACAGCTGTTCCCAACACTACAAAAGACCCTTCCTTCACTTGCCTTGTCAGTGCACCGCTCTTGCAGCTCAAAAAGACGCCTGCAAACATCTGTCATTGTGGGCCTTTTCGCAGGATCCAGATGGCAGCACTCTTTCATCAGTATGTGCATCTCTTCTGGGCAGTCACTCTCAAGAACCATACAGGGCTCCTCTCCATCCAGCTTCTTTTTCATGACGTGCTCCTTGCCTTGCTGACATTGCACTTGCAGTCCGTACAGCTCCTTCCCTGTGATGACCTCGTACATCACCATTCCGAAGCTGTACACATCCGATGCAACAGAAAGTATCTCACCTTTGAAAACCTCTGGCGCCACCCAGAAAAGCGTTCCCTGGGGCCTTCGAGCGGTCTTGCGCCTGGCCATTGTCGCCTCACTTGCGAGCCCAAAGTCGGCTATTTTGACAGCACAAGTTGCAGCATCGCTTCCAAACACCAGGAAATTTGGGCTCTTCACATCGCAGTGGACCAGGGGTGGATCTCTGCTGTGCATATATTCCAGCCTTTCAGCTGCTTGCAGCAAGATGCTCAGCTGCCATGGCCACTTGAGACGGATTTCTCTGCAGAACGTTTTGAGATCCATGTCTGCCAATTCCATCAGCAAACGCCCTGACTTGGTAGTGGCAAGCAATTTAGCAACATGGTTGTCAGTCAGGGATGTCTGGATGAGGACATCTTTGTAAAACTCTGCCATGTTTTCAATATCTGTCGGCCCTCCTTTCTTCACAAACTCCTTCACAGCAACTCGCTTTCCCTCATAGTTACAGGCGTGCACAACACTGAACCCACCTTCACCAACCACCTCTATTTCATGGATCTTGTCGTCATCAATTTCAGGCAAACATTTCATGCGATCCACGTGCTCCTGCCTACTGTCATGCCATTCCTGAGGTATCTCAGCAACTTCCAAGGAATCTACATGTTCCCTTCCAAGAACAAAATGGAGCAATTTCGCCAAGGCATCCCTATCAGCAGCGAATGCTGCTGCAGGCACCTTTGTGTCAATTCTTACTGTGCCCTCCAACTCCCATTCTCGGGCAACCAAAAACAGTGACTCACACACGTGTTCCACAATGTCTCTTGCCTCCACACTCTGATAGAAAGTCTTAATATCAACACGTTCTTCGTGTTTGCGAACTTGCCTGTGCCCTGTCTCCAGTGCAGTCTTAAATGCTATCAGAGAATCTTTGCTTGCCCCTTCGGGTGGGCTTAAACTGTGAGCTTTTTCCAGCTGTCGGCTCAAGAAACCCATCATTTTCTTGTTGTACTTTGCGCTCACCAGGTCGAGCGGAGGCTCTCCAGGAGTTGCTGGTTTCTGTGAAGCACATACACATATAGAGTCACACATCTAAGGACTGCAGTTTTGCTCTTTTGACATTGAACAGGAAGACCAGGAACATTAACAGACAGCCAACATGATTCAATGCAACAGCAACGGTTGATAGGCTGCACGAAGGGCTGCACACAAGATGGCTGACAGGTGGGCCTAATATACATCAATGGCACTTGTTCACTTCCCAATTTAAACACACGCTAGGATCAGCATATAAGAATGCAATGAACAGGAAATCTGTGCATCCGGGACACAGCAGAACAATAAGTACACCACAGCTTCCAGGCACAAGGAATAACAACTCGGGAAAACAGGCAGCAGGGAAAATGACTGTGGAATAGGAAGACGCAGGCCATACCAGCATGGCTGTGCCCCTTGATGCTGCATAACATTGTGAAATTCCTTTTAAGCGATCGCTCACATCCTCCATCGACGAGGGTCTGGCAGCTGGATCAAGGGAGCAGCACTCTGATATGAGCTTCACCAGCGCTTCTGGACAGTCCCTGGGGAGCTTCAAGCGAGTTTTCCCTTTCGCCTTTCTCTGTGACCCCATCGGGTGAGCAGCATCTCTCCTGCGTGACTGGACTTCTGAAACCAGAATGTTTGCAACAACACCAAAGTCGTAGATGTCGTTGAGAAAGCTGTGCGGAGTCCCACACAACATCTCAGGAGCACCATGTGTATCAGCCCCAGCTTCTGCCAACATAATGTTTGCATCTGCACTCCTATTGGTAGAATAGTGAAGAACACAGATTTTCACCTCAATTGGGTTTCCTTTAAACACAATGAACTTCTGAAGCCTAACGTTGCAGTGCACGATTCCCTCATGGTGAACGTCTGCCAGCGCAAGCGCTGCCTTCTGGAGCAGCTCCAGTTTCAACTGCAGGCCCCCAGATTTGTGACGCAAGAACCAAGTCAACATATCAGTTTCACCCTTCTCCATGACCAGCTTCCCTGAACGAGTGATGCCATAGAGACGGACAATTGCAGGAGAGTTGATCCACACCCTGATGGCTGTGTATAATCTGGCAAACGCCACCAAGTCTTGGTGGTCGCCATCGCTCCTCACCACGTTCTTGACCACATATTCCCTCCCCCTCCGTGTGCAAGCAAACACTGTGCCAGAAATACGCTGGCCAAGAACAATTTCTTCATCACCAATGAGCCAACGCAACAGCTGCCGTTCATGTACTATCCTTGCCTGCTTGCATTCTTCAAGAATGCCTTCAGGCAACCCATCAAGAGAGCACTCCTGCAAACCGAGCATGTAGCCAAGACGCCCCTCCAAAGCCCTCCTGTCATCATCAACATCCTTCAGTGGCACTCTGTTCTCAATCTTCAACCCCCATAGGTTAAGTTCTTCTGCAAAGGCAATGAGGGAGAGGCAGATCTTCTGCACAACAGCTTGCACCTCTGTGGCAGTATAGAAGTTGTCAATCTGGAAACTTTTTGTGTGATGACAGACGAGCATCTCCCAGAGGCTGATGGCATGGGCAAGTCTTGCATAACATGCTCTCCTTGCTGTGCCCTCTTCTGCTGCCTTGGCTGTCTCCAGCCGCTCTGAGATGCCCTGAAACGAGTTTAGCTTGTCCATCTGCTCCTGTAGAAATGCAAGGTTCCTGAGGTTGTAACTCCAGCATCCCTGCACAAAGATGGGCAACCAAAAATGCATGTTGCGCACTGCAGTCATTGACGCCACCTTGCAGGCACCAGAATTTCTGACCATTGTCTTCATTGAAGCATACATAGCAGTCAAAGAACAACGAGATCTTCCCTCTGAAAGTCAACCCTTCTCTCAGCCTAAAAGAACTGATGCATGCGATAGTGACCATGCTCAACTGCCTTGCATACATTTTACAACGTTTTGACAAACTAGTGGCCTAACTGGATGTGATGAAGGGAGCACTGTACCATTCTGCACACAAGGTCAATTCAAAGTCATCCACCTTGTTGAAAACCCTTGCCCAAACCTCAAGGCTCATCAGCAGCTCGCCGAGAACCCTCACAGCACAAACAGCAGGCTGCAGATATGGTTGTTCTATCCTAGTGACACTTGCAACATATGCCTCAGCATCCACAATATC